TAATTTATTTAAATATTTTCTAAATTATCTACATTGAAAAAATTGAGTATTTACTTGACTACGTTATTCATCATGTGTAACGAATGATTTCCCTCGATAACGAACGAACTCCCTCGAGAATAGTATCCATAATTTATGAGGTATTCAACGGAGATTCCTGATAGCGCTAGCTCGTGTCTATACAATCAATACATTCTTGATCGCGCCGTTGCAACCGCCACTGATACAATGTTTTAAAAATGCACACAGCAATGGTAGTAGCACAAAGAAAAAAACCTATCTTTTGATAACTGCACTATAAAATGGCGGCTATTGCTGCGGCGTAATCGCGATGACCATCATAGAAAATAGTTAATTGTTGACGATGAGGCGGGCATCTCGATATTATCATTTAAACGTCTTTGCAGCGCGCTTCAGAGAGTTTTATATGTAACTAAATTTAAATTCCAAAACTAAATGTAAATTAGATGCATTACGATTTAGCAGCGCGCTTCAGAGTTTTATATACAATTCAATTTAAATTCCAAAATTATATGCAAATTATATGTATTACTATTTGAAATTAAATAGAATACTTTCTCTTACAATTCACACATTCGATAAAGAAAGTACAAAATTTTATACCACTTCTATTCTTTTCAATTTCCTTTTAAAAAGAGAAAAAAAGAGAAATAACAATTTTTCTCATATTTGCGAATTTGTATGTTTGTGTCTACAAAAGTTCGGCAAAGATGTCCCGTTTTGTCCCGTTTTCGACGATTATTTTGTTTTGTTATACTTACATGCGATTAAAATCAGATAATAATCGACACCGACGTGCGTGAGAAACAAATGCGGCGACGAGATACAAAAAGTTGCATCTCGCAGAAATATTTTTTTACCGTCTAGTGTCAGCGACCGTACTCTAATTCGTTTTAGACCCGGCTAGAACCTAGACGTAGGTGTGAAAGCAGTCGAGGAAGGCTCCGCACCGGAGGTGTTTCGGAAGCAAGGAGCAAGATCTCTATTGTTGTGTGACACACAGTCCCGAATCGCTCGTACCTTAACCCGTTAGCGAAAGTATGATATTATGAAATTGTATAAATTAACAAGAAAGTTGAATTGTTATATCTTCATATTCATTCTTATCAAAAGATAACGTGTATGATGATAATTATTGTTTAAATTTTCAGTCGCTATTCTCTATTTATTTCGATTTGCATTTATTTAAAGGAAAAATTATATACATGTTCAAGTATAATATAAATTTAGAATAAAAACTTAAATGAAAAATATGGAATTCATCTAGTGGTTTTAGTACTTTTTTTTTTTTGACATTTCTTGTAAAGTCATCCACGCAGGGTTAAAGTAATGAAGTCATTGTCACAATAGCAAGATGCGAAACAACAAAATTGGCTGATCGAAATCCCTTTTTTTTTCTTGTTATTTAATCATTGATCGCGCGAAATCCTTGGTTCCACTTCAGCAAGAGCGTTGAAAAAAAGAGCCGGTCAGAGCCCTCCAAAGAGTCGCGTCCCAGGAACGTATGTATAACCGCGAGAGAGCGCTTAATCGATGTGTCATTATATCGACAGCTCCTCCGTGACACTTGTAAATAATTAAGAATCGCGTCGAATGCATGAAGGGAACCGCGAGAATGCGAGTGAATGCGTGTGTGTAAGAGAAGAACGCGAGCGAGACGGACACATATACAGCGAATGTGTACGAATAACTGTATAAAGACTGATTAGATTAGCCTTGATATTTATTCGAATTTAACGATTAAACGCTACCGCTTTGCGCGCGCCCTAAAAAGATACTCATGGAGCACGATGCCAAAGCTATTCCCCGGCAAACTAATAGTTATTCGTCACAGTAGCGATGTATCGGTCGATCGCACTTCATCGATCGAGAGGGATTTTCTTTTCATTGCTACTATGGGTCATTTTTCAGTTCATCCGAAGCACAATTTGGCCTCGCGTAATAAGAATTTTTCCCGATTCCCAAGGAATCTGTACTGGCCTAAGATTTATTTTGGAAAACATTCTGTTTCTCTCACATGCAAAATATTCGCTTCATATCTATTCTGTTCAGCTGCGCGTGTATCTTCGAATGCGGCCTCAGTAAATCGGGAAAATTGAATGTAAAGGATATTACATATAGATTCGATATGTTCCGAACGAATCTGCACTCTATTCTTTGGTTTTGACACTTAAATAAATGAGGATCCGATACGTTCTGACCATCGTGCTCGTATGAACGCAGGAAAGCAGAGGGAAAAATGACATGCGCGATTATTAACAGCGACATTATTATCGTCACAACGTATCAATATTATTCAATGCATCGTATAAACCAATAAACTAAATGTAAACTTTGTATATTCATTTATTAAGAGAATAAAAGTAAATTATTCGATGAATAGCTTAATGCACTTGATTTTCCTTGACATCCACAATTAGAATTTTATAGAAACAGGCAGATTAAGAGAAAATTAAAAAAAAGAAAATTTAATTTTTTATAACATGATATGTGATATTTATTGGTTATTTATGGTAAATAACAAATATTTTTATTGAAAAATTATAATAATTACGTAATAAAACGTTACAATTATTTTATTTTATATTCATTTTATATTATTATCTTATTTTATATTCACAAATTTTCCATTAATGCCCGTGCTCTTTTTAATTCTGAAAAAGAAAAACAAATATATTTTGCAATAAAATGCAGGATAAAACTTATACATATATAGTACATATATAAAGTTGAAAATTTATAGTAAATCATAGTTCAGTATGATAAAGTTGATAAAGTAATCTCAGAAAAAAAACTATTAGTCATTTCTGCAAATTAAACCATTCCCATACCCTTTAGTAACACTTGCACATCATCTTTAGAGATATTTATAGTGGAATCTTCTTCTTTTCCGTCTATTTTCTTCAATTTTAGCGTCACAGTAGGCGATGAGCTATCGCATGGTAATACTTCGATGGAAGACAAGCGACTGACTACGAATAAAAGTTGGAAGTCAATTTTAACGGAAAACATTTGACACAACAAAGAAAATTGTCAAATACAGCTGATAAAAAATAATTTTTGTACGTTTTAACAAGCTGAAATTTTTCCGAAAATTAAATTTAAAGCTCACACATCTTCGACATATTTAAATAAAAACAAAAAGCTTGCACCGATCACCTCTTAAAGATTGAGATGAAAGAACAGCAGTGATCTGAGAACAATGATCTGTGTGAAGCCTTGCTACAGCTGTACTATGCTCTCGCGGAAGTCCTAATTGTTGCAGTTCACTGCTCAAATCAGCAGCGGAAACGCCATATCGAGCAGAAGATGTAAATATCAATTCAAGAGCGGCTACTATTGCTTTCGCATCGCTTATATCTAAATCAAATGAAATTTTACATTCTCTTTTTTTCATCGACCATTTGTCGCATAATTTAATTTGAAAATATATAAATAAATATATATTAATAATAACATAAAGTTACACGCACCAAGTTTAGTATCTTGTGTGATTTTTTTACTTTTTCCTCCTAAAAAATTGGATGTGATAATTTTTTTGCTTTGGTAATACGAAGAACATATCACATTTTAAATCGACAAAATTAGTACTAGATCGCGATCTGTATTACTTACATCAAGTTCTCCTTCGGTCAAATATTTAGCCACTGCTTGACCGAGCATTTTCATTTTAATCGAAGTCTAAAAATTAAATATTGAATGTTTTTTCAAAAAAATCTCTGTATAATATATTTTCTCATTATAACTACCAAGATTTTTAATCTAACATTATTCTAGATATCCTACAGAGACAAACATACAGAAAAAGATTATAAATTTAATGATACCATTCGTGAAAGCGTGTTGATTTCTGCCAGCAACCAGTCTGGACAATCGCCATCACCAAGAAATCTGAATTTCTAATATAAAATACAAAATACAACTAGGTTTGAATATTTTAAAATAATATAACACATACGTTAAATAAATTTATTAATATTTAAATTTTTGGATTTTCAACATTAGATTTTTAATAAACATGTGCAAAGATTTAATTAGATTTAATTGAGATAATAATTTAAAAAACACAAATTCGTGCATTAAAATATTTTGAAAGTTTATACATATTTCGTAATAATAAAAAATAATTTTCGCTATAACATGTTTTTATAAATTCTTACCATTTTTATTAATTTAATTTCCTATTTCGTGTTTACGCTGATTCTTTTTCTTTTGCCTAAAAATCAAGTCACATATTTTTTTTTTAGAAATTATGATAATATTATAACTGCAATAATAATCTTATATTTCATTACAAATAATAAGAGATTTTTTTATAATTAAAGTAAATTCAATAATAAAGAATATAAAAGCGATACAAAAAAGTCATTTTTCTCCTACATTTTTTTTATTTTACATTATGTACTTATTTATAAAATTATCAAATCTAGTTGATTTATTCTATGCACTTCGACGAAACGTTTAATTAACTAGAACTCAATGGAATTCACCATCGTGCAACCGTAGAGAGGTCTACATCAGTCAATTACACTACGTCTACTGTGGGTCTTGGATCCGCTGTGTACCCTCGGGGCGGAAAACAGGGTGACTTTTTTCCGCCGTGCTATTCTTATGATATTTCTTTCGCACTGATAATGTTTCTAACAATAAGTATCATAACGTTATGATGGTAGGGCGAACAGACGTGGACGTCAGGATGTTTGCCCTTGTTGGCGGAGTAGATTGGCGTGGGCATCCGCGCCAGGTGAACGAATTCCCCATGCAATCCGCCTAATCCTTCGACCGCGACGAAATGGCCCACGGGAGTTTCGACCAGCGGACATAAATATCGGGAGACGAATGGGCCCACCGTCATTCTAGTTGAGAAACCCGCGAACGTCGGAGACATTCGTCAATAGGTAAACGCAATTTGCAACAGGTAAGAGATAATTGATTTAAACAGCATTTATTCATGATCTTCCATTCATCAACAAACGTAACGATGGTTTTATATAAAATTATCTACAAAATTAATTAAGAATAGGTTTTTTAAGATTTTTTTAAATAAATTATTTGAAGAAAGATAATAATTATGATGATATAATAATTATAATATTATGTCTCCAATATTTTCATTAACGAATATCTATGTCGAATCAGAATTAATATAAATAATTACCATAATTAATGATTGAATTTCTATATGATCAGCATTCATATTTACAATAATTTTATTAATTAAATCATTATAACATTAAATGATAAATATTTTCTTATAAAAACATAAGAAATATGGGAACTTAGAAAATAATAAAATTATAACCATTAAAATACAGTTTTCTTTGCATTAATTAAATCATAATATACTAAATAAAAATGCATACAAGCATAATTTTTTTATTTTCCAGCAATGAGGAAAATATTGCTGGTCACAACCTTGCTATCAATAGCAATGTCCGAAGATATTCTGGTAAATAAAATATTACTTATAATTATTTAAAAAATATATATGTATATTACAAAATTTTGTCAAAAATTTAAAGTTTAAATAGACGCATTATAAAGTGCGCATAATAAAGTGTTTGCACATTATTGACTTCAACGAAATAGAGAAATAGATTTCAAGAATAAAAAATTTCATGTTCATATTTTATTACAATTTATTAAAATTTATTAGTAATATATGTAAAAAAAATTGATTTTACTCTTTGAGATGGAAACTCATCCAAGATTAAAAACGACTTGGATTCGTAAACAGCTTTGGAATAGAAAAACAAAACGACAACAACAGAAAGATATTTCTTCTGAGGTGGAAGAGTTCTTAAATTATAATGACAGACAATTCCCTCGACTTTCGGACACCCGATTCATTAGCGAATCAAGAAAACTGCCCACGATGACACTCATCAGGTAATATTTATGACAATCATCTTAATTGCATTAAAACTTTAAATTTAAATTTTACCCCATATTTCCAAATTTTTAATAAATATATTATCCATATATTATAGAAGCTAAATCATCAGAAAGCATTAATATCTATAAAAAAAGGAAGATCTTTGTATCGTATATAAAAACGTTCAATAAACATGAAGATACAATAAAATTTTATTCATTTGTAATTCTATTTTATTTCTCACTTAATATAACAGATTTATAATAAATTTTGCAAGAATGTTAAATTATGAAAAACAATGAAATATAATAAAATTTTTAGTAAGAAAAGATTTATTCAAAATTGATTAAAAAATTATTGCGGATGCAATTGAAAAATAATATGAATAATATAATGTTAAAAAATAAATAATAAAATATAATTTCGTTGCAGGCAACATGATTTGGTGCGATTTCCACAAGTTAATCTGTTATCTTCCGGCAAACCAAACCTTGAACTCTCAGCAAAACCAAGAGTCTTGATCTCCATTGGCATACAAGAAGAGAAGAACGTCGTCGATCTACAAGAAGATTGCTCGTCGAGAAAAAGTTATTGCAAATTCAATCAAGGTTGGCAGGTTCAACAACCATTCTATGTAGAGGAGCCAAGATGGGTTGACATTGATGTCGACTACATAGACAATTCTCAGCATGCAGATGGCGATCCTTACATACTGACACGAGGAAAGAAAATTATTAGAATTAAGAATCCAGAACAAGTAGACAAAACAATCGAGGATTATGAAGCGACCTTCGATTATCCAAGCAAAAGCAAAGGGCTGAAAAGCCGAGTAAGAAGATCCATCAAAATGAACAAAAGATCTCAAAATAAAATAACCGACGAAAGGAACAATCAAGTAGAGCAAAGAAATCGTTATAATAGTCTTGAAGATACTGATAAAGATAGAAATAATACTATAATTATCAAAATAGAAAATACAGATAAAAAATCTTCAAAGATGGACAAAATATTGGAAGAAACAGGTGATATCTTTATTGAAAAATATAAGAGAGTTAATCAAAATATGACAAAGAGATCATTGCATGAATATAAATTTACAGAGCAGAATAAAAAATCCGCAAATGATTTAATCACAGATTTCGTTGAAGAAAAACGGAAAATACAAAACAAAGAAAGCAATGCTATTGAAAATGACAATAGCAAAACTGCAGAAGTAAATCAAATTAAAAAATTCAATAAAAATGATGGAAAAAGTCATTTTACTATTAATATAAATAAAAGAAATAAAAGATCAGTGTTATTGAAAAATCAAAAACTCTCCGAAAGTCATAACAAACAGGTTTATGAAATCGACGTAAATTCCAAGAGTGATGGCGAAAGGAATGAAATCGATACATATAGGCAGGTAGAAAATAAAGCTTACATCAACAAGTTAAATGATTTAGATACATTCAATAATCTCTTATCTCGCAATAAAGATCTATTTAACAATGAAAGCTCGAATAAAAAAGATGTAGATCATAATACTAAATCTATCGAAAGAGTGTGGGAACTTCAACATTATCCGCACAAGAGATTAGAAGACGAAGAAACGAAGAATGAGAAAAATAAATCTGAAATTAATAAAGATGATGTAGAAATGACAGATTTGCAATCAACAAACGAGTCCGGCTCAAAAAGCTTCGAAACGAATTCTCGAGACAAACGTAACGCTTGCAGAGGTTTCATCTGCAAGATCGAACCGCAGATCCAGGAAGATAAATGGCTGAAGAATATCGAGAAGGAAATTCAGGACTCGCTGTCTTTCAAGCGAAGAGACAAACATAATGATATTTTAGACAACCTAAACCTAGACGAACTTTACATAATTTCTCGAGGTAAGAAATCACTGTATGATTTTGGGAAGGACGGTCTCCCGTCAATGTCGCGAAATACGAACAACGTAGATCGCGCTAAAGTGATGATTCCGATGGGTCTTCTGAAATTGTTATTGATGGAAATGTCCAAATGTAACGACGATAATTGCGTCAAAGCGAATCGATTGCCACTGAGGGATAGACGTGGTAGCTCGCTCGATGAAATCTTCGCGGCGTACGATCCATATTATTTAGTTAGAGGAAAACGAATGAACCGAAACCAGAAGGGCACTTCACTCGAAATGGATGCGAAGCAATAATATCTAAAAACGAGAGATCTAAAACCGAGATCGCATTCTGCAAGATGTAATTGTTAGCTCTATATAGAGAAAAGTAGGAACCCATCAGGGAAATCCCTATCATGATTCCATTTATTTTTGATCCTGATGCAAATACAGTAATCATTTTCTTTCTTGAATTAATGAATATTGAACCATACAACAGCTATCATATATCTCGCAAGAATAAACTAGTGATTTTATTCTTAAAAATTGACTATGTAATAATAGAGTTTGCAAATACGATTTTTTTTTCTTTACGAAATTTATCTGGAATCTATATATGAATAATTAAATTCATAATTATAGAACTCTCTTATTCATTCTAAATTTGATAACTTATTTATTGTAAGTATGTTATATATTGATAAATTCGAAATATGAACAAAAGATGCATGGAGAGAATGACTTTCGATTGTAAATTAGGAAACTGCAATTTGTAATGCATTAAAAAAATAAAAATAAATATAAACGTTAGGAGTTAATTGAAGAATACTAGTAGTTAATTAACATGTAATTCGCTTTCTGTATATGAGAATAGAAGTTAAGTAGATTTTTTTGTAATGTCTTTCTCTTTTGGCTTGTCCTTGTAATTAATACGCTTTAAATGCTATTGTTTATGCGCAAAAATAAATAATTTACAGAATCTATATCACACGAAAATGTCTAATTAGCTATAAATATAAAAATAAGGTATATAAGACTGCAGAATATTTTGTGTTATATATTCCTATATATTACTAATTTCTTAAATAGTAATAATTCAAAATATTATACTTCATTTTCCCTATTTTTCTCATTAAAATTGTACATTATAACCTATAAAAAGAAAATTATTGTGAAAAACATTTATTCGTTTCACATGTTATAAATTACTCTATGTCACACTTTGTTAAATATTGTATTATTATAACAATGTCTATTTGCAATAAGTTTATTCACAGGAATACTCACTTAATAACTAATATTTATACAAGTTGACACTGACTGACACATCAGATCAAAGGAGGTTAGGATTGTGACATTTCTATCAGGTCGATAAGTTAGTTAACAGAACGGAAATTAATTAAAAAAGTTTTGATGTCATTAGCAAAAATTAAAAATTGTATCTGCCAACTTTACTTATATTTAATTTATAATAAAAATAAATAAAAAGGAATCTATAAATTCAACTGTAAAATTTATCTCAAGATTGTAGAATGTAAATCTGAGAAAAGGATATTGCCAGCTGTAGATAAGAAGACTCAATAAGTTTTAGAAGATTATTTAATAATTATGCAAATTTTTATATCCTTATAACATTCTTAATCAAATACTAATATAGCAATTATCTATTTATTATAATATTATATGTATATTTAGTATAACATAAATATATTTTTAATATTATTTATTTATAATTATCATTTTACGTAATTTTATGTCAATTTTTACAATTCACAGATTATAATAATATCGCAATTTATTATTATAATATTCTATCTATTTTTCTATTAAATTAAGTTTTTACAATTAAACAAATCAATACAATAGCCGAGAATTTAAAGAATAGAATGTAATAGATATACACACGCGCGCGCACACACACACACACACACACACACACACACACACACACACACACACACACACACACATAATAAATATATATATAATATCCTTATCGACAACTATTTTTTTGGTAGTAAAATTTAATTTATAGGTTATTAATATACAGTATTCTTGCACTACTAGCAAAAACTGGTAACTGATCGAACTGATTAACTGTATTTTTTTTATATTGTTGGTACTGTTAAAATGTAGAAAATTAGTACTGATTTTTAATACGGTTAAGGTACTGTAATCATGTAATAATACTATAATTCAAGTCTTGGTCCATTGCTATCAATCCGGCATTCCAATAGTGCTGCGCCAGTACTGGCCTATAGTACCGCGTCAGTATTCACTACTCAAAACAGATATTGATACAGTATCTTGCCGGTATTTATTTCCCATTTGGGATATTATATTTATAAATATCGATGACTTGAAATTTAATAAATTAACATGTAACAAATATACACAACTTTTATTTAAAAATATCTTAAATTTTAACAACTTTTATTTTTGTTAAAAAAATCATTAATATTTCCAGAATATTTTTAATTCAAAATATTGTGTGTGTTGTACTGATTTATTAATTAATTTCACTGATATAAAAATTTTTTAATTAAAAATGTAGAAACTTAATGCTAGATCAAATATCACCTGAGATCAAATATCAAATATTACTTTTTTGTTAACATAATATCCACATTTTAATATCGTCGATTAATATCGATGATTATATTTATTATAATTACAAAATTTGAGGTTCATTAATTCTTAAATCAGATTGTGTACTTCATGAAATAAAAAAATTTATTTTTGTAATTTAGCCATTTTTTTAATAAACATAATTTTAAACATTTGCATAAGTGGGTGTCTAAAATGTTTGGAAAATATGTTACAAAATCATTCATGATAGCCATTTATTGATTATTATTTATGCTAATTACAATCAGAATTTGTGTTATTATTTTTATTTTTATTAGTTTTATAAGTTTTCTCACTCAATTTATGACTGATCTAGATAGACTTACATAACACTGAATAAACGAAAAATTACGATTCCTAATCAATTTTACATAGTTAATTTATACTAAATATTCGCATTTATATGTTTAAGATAATTAAAGAAAGGACATGAATGAAACATTATGGGCTATAGAAATATTAGAGCCTGAAGCAATTTATTATTTTATAACAAGATATGCAACAAACATAGGTACATTACAACATAAATCCTATATATTGCATGATTGAAATTAATCAGTTACAATTTCTCAACAGGAAATTTATTATGTGCAATACACTATTGTTATAACGTCGCGTTATTATTAGATAAAATATATAAAGGTCAATAAAAATTAAATGTGAAGCAAAGTGTTTTTAATTGAAACTATAGAAAAGTGTCTCAACAGGATCAGAATTAAATTTCATCTCGTCGAATGGCCACAACCAATGGCCACAAAAATGGTTACCTTTCAACGTCAGTTATTAATTCTGTATTCTGTTTGAAAATAGAACGATTTAAATGATTGAGAACGTAATAGTGTGTACAATTATTGATTAACATTCAGAGAAAAATATAATTCCTATCTATGTCACGGTACACTAGATATTTATATACTATTCAATCTTAGTTTACACATCACCTGTTCTCCATTTATATCTTATTTCTCAAAGTCGAGAGCGTGAAATTATTTTTGTCATAATTGCATATGTATTTGTCATAATTTACAAAATGTATTGATAAATTAAAATAGAATAAATCTTGTATGGCACTTCTAAATATAAAGCTGTTTCATAAAAAAAATTAATAGTAGAATTGCATTTTTCCATGAATTTTGAATTGATTTTTCCTTAACGAGAAAATTGTTCAATTTTTATGTTATATGATATTTTCTTCATAAACATAATTACATATATTTATATTAAAATCTTATTTTCTCAATTTAAAAAAACAAAATTTTTTATAAAAACTTCAATTTGACACTTAAATTGTCCAAAAAATTTAATATTAAAATATAAAAATATTGTTATTAGTTCTTATCTGACCTTTTTGTTAAGGAATAATCTTTTCTATAAATTCATTCAAGAATGTATTACTACTACTGATTATTTTTTACAATACATTCTGTACAAATTAACAGTAATACTGATATAGGCATCTTTTGAAAGACATTACTGACACGTAGAATCGTAATCGGCGAGAGAAATTTTCAATTTTCAATTTACTAAATGAAATACTAATTAAACGTTATCGATATAATGTTCGTATCATTTGTAATAGACGCAGGTCGAAAGACACAAATCATAAATACACAAGTATGAGTAAAAATCTCTTGTAATTATGTTATCAATCTGAAAAGAGATATTTATGTTTCTATCCTTCAAATACTTCTTTATTTCTATAAAATTAATACACAATTTTTTTGTTTAAAAAATACGTAAATTTTAATAATAGTATATTTAAACATGACGATTAATTACATAATTTTTTACTTAGTAAATCTTTTAAAAAAATAAATACCTTTCTATAAACTTAATTTAAAGCATATATTAAATTTTCTCTTCGTCCTTAATTTAAAAAATTATAATTTAAAAACAATATGTTTTAAAAAATTTTTATACAACGCTTAATACACGCTTAATACAATGCTTAAATATTTTACTTGACATTACTTGATTTGAATTCTTTGAATAATCTAATTCACATAAAAATTAAAATTTTACTCTGATAAATTTATCATTAATTACATGTCGACTTTAAACAACATTTTTTTTTCAAATGTGGAGCATCTTGAAATTTTAATAATAGATAGCGAATATGAAACAATAATTTATGATTTTGTTGACATTTATGAAATTACAGCCAGAATTTCGCAAAATACTATTTATAAAACGTTATCGTAGATTTCTTCTTCCGTATACATGTCTACATTCATTGTGCATATGTTGAATTTATGCTATTAATCATGCCTTCTGTGACTTGCAGCTTGCAACCTGCATCTAACATAATTCTAAATTTCGTAATAGAGGAAAAACATAAGTGACAGCGTACATACATATAGTAAATAATATATATACTGACTAAATCAAAATATATAAAATAATTGTATTTGATAAAATAATAATAATAATAATAAAGTTTTAATTAACATATGATTGATAAATTAACAAACGACAGCACCAATCATCACAATTGATAGACGCATCTTCTTTCTTTTTTTTTTTCTATTTTTAGATTTAGCTACATCGGTTTAATTATTTGAAGGAGACGTTTCGTAACAGTTACCACATTTCTAAGGGCTGTTGTATTATTGTGAATCTGAAACATAAAATAGAAAATAGTGTTTACAATACTTTTGAAATATTTGAAAAAGAGACAATACATTTTACCATTGCTTAGTGCAATTACACGAAAATCTAAAGACAAAATACTTCAATCAATTCTTATTGTTATATGATACAGTCAAGTAACTTACTACTAAATTTATATCTAGTGAAATAGACTCTCATAATTGCATACATACACCTCATATTTTTCTTATTTAAAATAAAAATTGTTCATATGTTTATACACATATAATGTGTTAATACATATATAACGAAATATTATTTATATTATTTATATTATAATAATGATACATGTATATATATATATATATATATATATATATATATATATATATGAGACACAATAAAGATATATATATATATATATATATATATATATATAACACCAATAAAAAAATATGTATATTTATAAATCAATTATTTAAAATAATATTTAAAATGCATTTTTTATGTTTATATTGTTTAACTTTTTAAATAAAAATCTTTCTTCAATAAGTTCTTTTTAATAAAGATTAGAATAAAGCAACTAGATTAATAGAAAGATATCGAATGTTCAATCACAATCCAAACTTAATAAAGCATTTACGCGTTTGAATGTTAATGAGAATTAATTCGTAATTGAATCATGCGTAGATAACTGGTGTTTCTAACCAGTCAAACTGTCATCCCAAAGTTAGAATGCAGAATTTTATCGCTATTTCGTGCAATCGTGTATACACAATGGTGAATAACTTTTCGACGACAATATACCGCGGAGAAACTTTTAAAGCAGAGCCCTTGCGTCGCTATTGTCTCATAGTTGCGAGAAAGATAATCCATAGCTTTGTTTTAAATGTCACTTGGCACTCATATGCAAGGAAAAAAATATTTTCACAGCATTAATAGTGCGGAATAATTTGTAAACGAGCGATCATAAGTGTTAATCATAGAATATTGAAAAAGTATAGAATTGAGAAGCATATATAGATAAACTTTATTACAGCAATAGAGTGAAGTATTCAATAAATTACAAAGTATACCGAGTATATACACTTAAAATGCTCAATGTGTCGCATGCAAGATAAAGGTATAGGATAGTATATAATATTTTTAGCGTATCAAAAATTTCCAAGAATAATACATCATGTTAATGACGCGTTATAGAAGACTGAGAAATATTATCACAAAAAAAAAAGAACATTTTTTTTATTATTCTCGCATTATGATAATCTAATTGACATGATAAATTCTAGAAGCACAATGATTATACAGCCATTAGATACGTATGAAAGTTGAATAATGTGTCCAAAACATCGCCGCATGAGTATGCTATACCAATTGGCTGTCAGCCGATCGAATTACCTAATGTTGCTGGCGAATCCCCATCCACGCCGATCCTTTCGGTATTATCAAATACCTTTATGAACGGGCTGTTGTCCTTGTATGGGGCTTTCGCCCACTTTTTGCCTCTCACCCCCACAAACATCCCCCGTAACTCCCATCGTGGATTTTTCTTACCGCGCATCTCAAAATACCGGAAGGGCGATCTCTTTTCGACTTGGCACGAGGCTAGAGCGTGTCTCCTATCGCTTATTCCTGCTCGAGGGAAACACAACGTGGGCCAGTGTGACCATTTCGAGCATAGAATCTCACGGCGTACGAATAGAGGAAAAGGAAGAAAACAAAAATTGTCCGCGGTCTCACTACAGAGTTTGTTCGGAGCATGAATAATAAGACAAATATTTGAGAAGCCTTCGTTTCGTGTTCTTTCCGCTGGAGATGGACTCGATCGATTATATCGTGTCTAGTGGTGTTAGGAAAGGCATTTGGGAAGCACTCAGTGATTTTATAGAATGCTCTCGAGTGTGCGATAAAAGCGAAGAAAAATATGTCTCAATGAATTACAACATAGTTAATTAAATTATGTATCGGCAGTATAACTGTATTACACTATACGCGAATAGGTTTTATTCAGTTTCGATATCGAGCAAACTGTAATTTATAATTATTTGAAATACTCTCTACAAAAAGAGAAACTTTCTAATCTAACATTTTTTTATATTAAAATTTACATTAAAAGTAACACAAATTAATTGATAAATATTATAAACAGATTTAAATTCAAAATCAAATTCACACAATTTTTAAAATATATATTAATTCTCAATAAATTCTTTGACAAATTAACAAAAAAATAGTTATTTTAGAAATAAGACATTTTGTGAGATGTTAATAATTGTAGTTAAAAATTACTAAGAAAATAATATCAATGACAGATATAAAAATTACGTTCAATTTCTCTTTTTTCCAATATTTATAAATCGTATAATTAGTAAATAGCATTGAGAGAGAGAGAGAGAGAGAGAGAGAGAGAGAGAGAGAGAGTAC